TGCAAGTCTGGCTTCCCAAACCATCCTTGGGGTATTCATTTGGCTTTCCAGAGGTTCTGGTCGGACACTAGGCATCTCACCCCTATGGACACAGGAAGAGGGAGTTGATCGTTTGGCAGCCTGGTTTTATTTTTGAATAACCCTGCCTGTGCCCAGCTTATGACTTTCTGTTTTATGCTGGGTCTTCTTCCCAAGTCCCTTGGCTTGGACCTCAGCTGCGTCCATCTGACTCTCATGGTCACCCAGCTAAGTCCTTGGTCTCACGGTGTGCTGCTCCTCTCAGGTGGAGGTCAGAGCCAGGTTTTACCTCTGGCTCGCAGTGGGCATGGAGTGGGCAGGGACCAGGTCTGTTTTGTTCTGTGGCTGTGTACCCAATGCCAGCTCTGGTCCTGGCCTAGTGGGGTTCAGTCTGTCTGTTATATAAGTAGCTGAGCACCCTGACTGTGAGCAGGAGGCTGAGGAAGATGAGGAGGAGGAGGATGAAAAGGACAAAGGGAAACTGAAGCCGAACCTGGGCAACGGCGCAGACCTGGCCAGTTACCGCTGGACCCAGACCCTGTCGGAGCTGGACGTAAGTGGCAGGGGCCGAGGTGGAGGTTAGGGAGCTAGCTTGGGCCTCTCCTGACTTCCCCTGCCCCGTGCAGCTGGCAGTGCCCTTCCATGTGAACTTCCGGCTGAAGGGGAAGGACGTGGTGGTGGACATACAGCGGCGGCATCTCCGGGTGGGGCTCAAGGGGCAGCTGGCGATCATTGACGGGGAACTCTACAACGAGGTGAAGGTGGAAGAGAGCTCATGGCTCATTGAGGACGGCAAGGTGGTGACCGTGCATCTGGAGAAGGTGCGAGAGACCCAGAGGAAAGGGGGAGAGTGTCTGCCTGATTCACTCAGGGACTAAGCTGGGGGCCTGGTGGACATACCTTATTTAATCCCCACAACAGGACTTTGAAAGTAGCTCTGTCTCATTCTAAAGCCAAGAAAAGGGTAGTTCAGAGATGAGCCAAGGCTCCTCTCCCAAGGAAGGGATGGAGTCAGGATCAAAACAGGGATACCAAATAGGACTAGCTAAACCATCCTTATAAAAAGTTCCCACATTTCATCATCCACTATGCTTATTGTCTAATTCTCTCTGGCTGGGACCTAATATCTTCCCTGTTAGGTCCAGCCTTGGATCTAGACATCTAGACATGTGGTCCTGTTAGAGACATGCCACCGGCTCCTGGGTTTGGGTTCTGTCAAACAGTCCTGGCATTCAGTCCTTCCCCATGTCCAGGCCTGACACTACAGTACTCACTCTACACTTCCTTCTGCTTTAAGGCAGGAACACCCTCACACACTTTGCCTCTCTTGTTTTCACTGACTCAATTCTGTTTCCACTGTTGCTTTGGTGTACCTGAGAAGGCTGCCAGGGGGACGACTTCTCAGAGAGAGACACTGGATAGGTATGACAAAAAAAAAACAAAAAACAAAAAAACCATGGATACCAAAGCCTCTTCCTTCCTATTGGATTTTTACATGTATTTGGTGTCCAGTGACGGGCCATAAGGTCAATACCAATTCAATTCAGTGAATACCTGAATACCTCCTGTGTACCAGAGGGTGTTCTAAGTTCTGGAGAGAGAGCAGTGAATAATACATAGAAAACTCTGTGCCCTCAGGAAGCCTATGGTCTCCCCCTATTCCTTCAGAGGGAGATAGGACACAAATACCAGTAAATAAATGTGGTCCCTGTAGAGTGCCAAGGATCCAGGGAGAGCTTCCCATGGCAGAGAAGGCCTGTCCAGCCTCCCTGAGTGGCTGTAGCTGCCCCTCACTCCTCCAGGCCCTTTCACTTGCTTCTTCTCCCAGTCGCATGTCCTCTGCTTTTTAGTCTGGCCCCCTAAGACCCAGTCCTGGTGTGACTTCTGTCCCTTCACCCTGGATGACTGTCTCCCTCTGTATTTTTTTCATTCCCTTATTACACTGAGTTATAACTGTCTCCATGCCTGTCTCCTCCAGCCGGCAGGGAGGGCAGAGGTTTCGCCCACCTGCACCCTAGGTCCCAGCACAGGCCTTCGTGGGTCCCAGGTGTAGGATGAGGGAGAGAGTTTGGTTCTGGAAGGGTTGGGGTTGGTTCCCAGGCCACAACGAAGCCACCCCTAACCTCTGTGGGTCTTCTCTTCCTTTCAGATCAACAAGATGGAGTGGTGGAGCCGCTTGGTTTCCAGTGACCCTGAGATCAACACCAAGAAGATCAATCCTGAGAACTCCAAGGTGAGCCCTGACCAGCTGGGGAGCTTCAGCTGGGAGGTGAGGGCGTAGGTGCCTCAGAGCTTCACCCATCTCTGTCACTGCCTGTCCCCAGCTGTCAGACCTGGACAGTGAGACCCGCAGCATGGTGGAGAAGATGATGTATGACCAGAGACAGAAGTCCATGGGGCTGCCCACCTCAGACGAGCAGAAGAAACAGGATATTCTGAAGAAGTGAGCAATTCAGAGATGGGGGTTTAGGGGAGGTGGGTGTTGGGGAGCTTAGACCTCGGTGACAGCAGGTGGTTACTAAGCAGGACATAGGACCTGCCCTGCCCCTTCCAGGATGAGCTAGCCAAGTTTATGGCTTTATAGCCTTGGCCTAATCACCTGCTGAGGTCATTTTGAGGGCAAGGCTACCTGAGGGTAGTAAGAAGTAACACGTGCAGTCATTGTCACCAGCAGGACAGCAGTGCCAGCACTGGCCCCTCAGCTTCCAGTCTTAGAGACTCAATGGGCCTCAGAGACTGGGGGGTCCCACCTCTTCCCAGCCCGGCTCCAGGTTATCCAGGGTTCTGAAGACATCAGACCAACATGGGGAGCCGGGAAAAAGGGATTAACTTTTGGGGGAGAGGGATGGTCTGTTTGACTTTCCTACTTTCCCTCCCCCAGGTTCATGGATCAGCATCCAGAGATGGATTTTTCCAAAGCCAAATTCAACTAGCCTCTGTGTTTGCTTCCTTAAACTCTTGGGGTTAAGCCTTCAGCCATCCACCATCCTTTCCTACCCTTTCCTGGAACTTGGAGGCCTTGGGGCAGGGGCAGGCATGGGACTGGCCTGGGCATCTGGATCCCAGGGCATCATGGGAGAAGGGCTGGGGCCTTGTCCTCCCCAGTTGACCTGCTGTTACACATTAAAACTGTTTACCCAAATACATGTGTATTTTGTTCCCTCTCGCTGTTTCCTGGGGGATAGGCCTCTTACGGCTGCTGCTGGGAGCTGGGGGCTTGGCTTCTAATCCAGATTTTGCTGGGTGACCTAGGACAAGTCCTTGCCCCCCTCTGGAGCTTAGTTTCTCATTACTTAAAGGAGGGAGGCTTAAAACAAGGCTTTTATTTAGTCTGTGTATGTTTCTGAGCAAAGGTGAATTTTTCTGGCTACAGGACCTGTCGTCAGTCGTTCTCACAGGGGCCCATGACTCAGCAAAGTTGAAGACCAGCTAGACTTGTTCATTTTCATCTTTAAGACAACTTCCCACTTCAGTGGGCCTGTCTTCCAGCCCTTGAACAAGTGTTTCTAAAACTACATACTTCTTTCCCAGGGACAGAGCAGCAAAGGCTGGGGGAACTGCCCAGGCCTCAGATGGGCTGTGTGTGGTACACAGACCTGATCAGGAGGGCAGGGTGAAGGCCAGTGGGCCTCTGCAGATTTGAGGGCCCCCCCAAGTCAGCTGCTGAGGCAGAGCCAGGGCTGGAGCGGGGCCTGCCTCTGTGCAAATCCAGCCCAAGAGCTGAGCCCCAGCCCCCCTGGCCAGAGTGGAGGTCACCGAGTACAGGGGCTGCAGAGGTTAGGGTTACAGCAAAAATACCTTGGTTGACTTGGCTGGAGTGCTGTGCTGGGTGGGCCACGGGGGACCCCTGGGTTTCTGGAACACATCATGTCCTCCTTTTGGTGCATCCAAGTAGTTTGTTAAAAGAGGTGATGCAGTAACTAGTTCTGTTTCCCAAACTTTGACAACTTTTTCTAGGTATGCCAGTTGTTCCCCAGAGCAAAGTATGGGAAGTGGTGCTCTGGGGCCAAGGTTAAGGTGCAGGGACTAGGGTCTCACTCTCCTCTGTCCAGTGATCTCCCTGGGCTTCTGTGGTTATTTTCAGTCTCAGAGAGGCCTGGACCTAGATGAGACAGCAGAGCCTAAGGAAAGGTCCTGGGCCCTGTGGTCACATCCCCAAGGGGCCACGCTGTGTGTCTGAAACTGGAGAAGTACAGTCTGTCCAGTCACTTTCCAAAGGGTGCCCATGGGGACAATAAGAAGGGCCATAGGGGCTGCAGGTGGGATGCGTATAAAGGAGGACCCTGCACACCTCACTTGCATCAGTTAAGAATGGGCTGGTAGGCCTGCTCTGGTTCACAGCTGAAAGGGACAGACCCCCCTGTCTGCTGAGTAGATCCCCTCTGACCCAGCTAGGCTCCCATGTCCAAATAAGGGGATCCTGCAACTGTCTCTACCAGGTCAGCTTGCCCGCTTGGGGGCAAAATCAAGAGGCCAGATTCCTGGTCCGGAGCTAGAGTTGCTACTAACTTTGTGATCCACAGAGTTCCTTGCCTTCTCTGGGCCCCAGTTCCCCCTCTGAAAGAAGAATGATCCCATTTCAGGGTTGTTGGTAAAGCCATGGAGATACCAGGGAACCACAGTACTCTGCCAGCACCAGGGAGGGAGGAGTAGCAGGTCTGAGGCTGGGTGGGGCTGAGCCACGTTTGGGGGTTTGGGGGAACTGCAAGGGCGGCCAGAAGCAGGCGAGCCTGCCGGTTGGGCACCAGAACACCAGGGTGGATGCACGCAGGCCCGCCTAAACGGCCCCCTCGCCACCGGCAGCCCTTCCACAGGTGCTGTTGCCACCCCTGGGTCTCTATCTCCTGGAACTCACAGCGAACCTGAGGGGTGTCCTTGCTCCTGTTTCAGCCTTCAGACTGACCCCACAACACTAAGCCAGGCTGCTTTCTCTTGCTCTGGCAGCAGTGAGGCAAATGGGACAGCAAGGACAGTACCACAGCTGCGATGGCAGGTAGATGTCTATTACCTTTGTACTTGCAATTAAGGTCATGATAGCATATCAACGTCAGCCAAGAGCCAAACTGCTCAACAGGACATAACGTGGAGTGGACACTGCCCACAGAATTCCACACAGAGGCCCTGCCTGGCCCCAATCCAGTCCATTTAAGACAAACTGCTTTTAGCTGTCATTCCCCATTCCCTGTCCTGGGAGGGGGATGTTCGCGTTATTCATTATGGGGCTTATGTTATGGGATAGACCTCAGAAGGTAATGCCTGTCTTTGCTTTCCATGACCTAGGCCACCTAAAGGTCAGGCAGGAAGGAACAGACCCCGCAGAAGTCAGCCCGGTTAGGGATCCGGGTGGATGTGGGCACCAAAGCCCAGTGAAATGCACATGGTCCAGGAACCAGTCAGCAAGGCAGGAGTCAGAGCGGGCGCTGTGTCTGGTCTCATGGCCCAGCCTCCCCCAGAGGGGGTCCTGGTCCCCTCTTCATGCTGTAGGCTGTGCTGCTCTCAGAAGGGGTTGCAGCCCCTGGGCCTGGTGGGGGTTAGCAGTGCACCTGGAGCAGGGGTGCCCCTGATGAGTCTGTGTCGGTGGCCTGGAAGGATGAGCTGTGGCTGGCTGGGTAACCTGAGGGGGGGAGGGAGGATGAAACAGAGGCACAGTGAGGGAAAGCTTACCCTGGTCCCACGCGCAGGGAGAAGCCTGCAAAGAAGGAGCAGAGTGGGACTTCAGCCTGGGTCAGTCTGATCCTGGCTGGGTGACCCACTCACCTTCTTGATCTAAGTTCAGCCTTGCTGTCTGTAAAAGGCTAATGAGCTTGCTCCAAGGGTCTTGTGAAGGCAATGAAGACAGCAGCAATCACCCAGTATGCCTTTTTAGCACTGGTGGATGGCCTCCTGCCCTCCACTGTCCTCCCCAGTAACCTGGGCACCTGCCCCTGCTGGTTCAGGGGCAGCACCCTACATCTTTCCCAGCTGATACCTTTAAGCCAGCTGGCAGGATTGGGGTGGGGTCTATGGCTACTCAGGACGGTCCATCCCTTTCTAATTCCATTCTTGCCCACCCCAGAAGGAAGCTAGGAGAGGGTCATGTGGGGCCCAGGGTGGTCCCCTTTCCTCCCTCCACAAGCCTCATCAGGTCAGGACCAAACCTGGGGCTCCATAAGGCCTCAGCTTCCTGGCGATGGCATCTGCAGTCGTCTCCTGGGAGATCTGCACTGTGAGGTCTAGGGAGGGAAATGAGGGAGCAGTGTTGTTATTACATCCTTTCACTCCTGCTCCCCACTTCTGGTCCAGCCCAGTGAGGGAGAGGTTGCTTACCTCTGGTCTGGGCTAGAGAAACAATATTTAAAACAAAGACAGATAGTGCGCGCGCGTGTGTGTGTGTACGTACATGTGCACACAGTGGTGGGTGGGTAGGGGTTTTGGTTAGGCCAGAACAGGTCAGAGGTACAAATTCATATGGGTTCCTGGGTTCTGTTAACAAGGCTAGGCCTGGAAGCTACTATATAGCGGGTGACAGAGGAGCCTCTTCAGGGATGCAGAGGAGTTAAGAAAAAGTAGGAAGGCAGGAGGAAGAGCAGCAACTGGCTGAGGGATGGACCCACGATGGCGGAAACCCCAGTGCAGCCCTCTGGCCAGAACTTCCTCCACTCTACCCTCAGCCTTGCAGGGCCCCACCTACCATCCTGGCTGAGCCCTGAGCCCACCATGGTCTCATGGCCACTGTCAGGGGCAGCAGCAGTCACAGCAGCCCGGTGTGAGCGCCCCTCTGCAGTCTGCGGGCGAGCGCGGCTCTTTCGGGTACTGATGCGAATTATTCCGCGTACCAGGCGGCCCTCAGCATCCTGCTCATCCAGGTGGTAGTCCTGGGTGATGCTGCTGATAAGGTCCGATATCTTACTGGTCTTCTCCAGGAACACAGTGTCTGATGTGCACTTGGCCAGCTCGTCGATCTGGTGTACACTGAACAGCTCTGTTAGCTTCTTGAAGATGAGCACATCGATCTCTCGGCTTGACATGGAGCCACTGCCTATCTCAGGAAGGTCCAGGTCCGACTCATGGAAGGAGTAGTATTCCTCGGAGCCACGGGGGCTGCTGGCAAGGGTGCTCGGAAGACTATGCCGTGTAGGTTGGGGCTCAGCCAGTGGCTCCTTGCAGCAGGAGTCCGCGTCAGGGGCTGGGGAGGTGGTGCTGCGGTAGGGATAGACAGGGATGCCTTTGAGCTTGACGTCAGGGTAGCTGAAGCTGCTACCCATGGTTGACTTGAGCCGCTGGCCATCTCGCCGGCTGGGAGGGGCACGGTCGGGGCTTGGGGGTACTCCGTTGTGCTCCTTGGCCCAGTTGCCTTCAGCAGCCCCTTCAGGGGGGTCCCCAGTGGACAAGCAGGGACTACAGCCCTGAACACAGGCTCCACAGCGCTGGAGGCAATCTCGGCAGCGGCGGAAGCAGAAGGCAGCTCGACACCAGTCCCATACCCAGGGTTGCCAGAGCAGGCAGCAGGCTGGAGGCTCAGTAGCAGGCTCGGCAGAGCCAGAGATGAAGTTAAGGCTCTCAGGCCCATGGCGGCCAGGGTCCTTAGGGTCTGGCCTGCGGGTGCGGCGGCTTGGTGGGGGCTGGGATGGCTCATCATATGTTTCCAGGCACAGCTCTGTTGGCCGCTCCCAGGGTCCCAAGCGTGGGGGCCCAGATGATGGGCGGGGGTGTCCAGGGCGGGGCATGGCTCATTGCATGGTCTGCTGCTGCCAGGCACCTGTAGGGGGAGGCCAGGAAGGAGTCAGGACAGAGTTCAGGGGCAAGCGTCTGTGCTGCCCTGAGGAGCTTCAGACTTCTGGTTTCTGAGAGGCTGTGAGGTGGACTGGCTCAGGTATGCCCACAGATCCAGATCCTCACCTAGGGTCCCTCCCTCCCTCCCTCCCTCCCCAAAGAGGAAGTGGTATCTGTGGTCTAACCTACATGTCAAAATCTCCTGGGATGTCACACATGTTGGGATGGCTACTATTAAAGAAAACAGGAAATGACAAGCATTGGAGAGGACATGAAGTTGGAACCCTTGTGCACTGCTGGTGGGAATGCAGAATGGTGCAGCTGTTGTGGGAAACAGTATGACAATTCCTCAAAAATTAAACACAGAATTACCATATGACCCAGCAATCCCACTTTTTTGTATATACCCAAAAGGACTGCAAACAGGGACTCAAACAGATACTTGTACACAAGTATACACAGCAGCATTATTCATAATGAACAAAAGGTGGAAGCAACCCAAATGTGCACTGACAGGTGAATGAATAAAGAAAACATGTTATATACATGCAAGGGAATATTATTCAGACCTGAAAAGGAATGAAATTCAGATACATGGCTACAACACAGATGAGCCTTGAGACATTAAGTGAAATAAGCCAGACACAAAAGGACAGATACTGTCTGGTCCTACCTAAACGAAGTATCTAGAACAGTCAAATTCATAGAGATGGAAAGTAGAATGGTGGTTGCTAGGGGCTGGGAGCAAGGGTGAAGGGGGAGTAAGGGTTTAATGGGTAGAGTTCCACTTCGGGAAGATGAAGAAGTTCTGGAAATGGATGGTGGTGATGGTTACACAGTGTGAATGTGTTCAATGCCATAGGACTGTATGGTTAAAATGTTTTAAAAAATGTAAAATGGTGAATTTTATGTTAAGTATATTTTAACACATAAAAAGAAAAAGCTCCTGGAATCTCACTTTCTCAGGAATGGTCTTCCTCAGTTTCTTCCCTCTGTTGGGAAGCCTACCCAGCACAGAGCCTCTAAGGCTGTTCAACAAATTCCTTTCTTTGTGACTTGCTGCAGAACCTGATCATCACCACCTTCCCTTAGTCCCCTCCACCTTCAAATCAGACATGGGATCATAACAGGTCCCTTGTCAATACTTCAGTTTCCGAGCAACATTTAACACCAAGCACTGTTTTGCTTCCTCTGATTAGACGAGAAGCCAAGAAACAAAATACATCTTCTTTCCCTTTTTGACTTGGTTGCTAGCAAGCTCAGAGCAAAGACTCCATTCATTCCATAACCACTCAGTTTGGCCTCCTGTAGGCACTGCTGAACAAAGATGAATGAACTACAGACCCTGTTCTTGCAATTCACACATAGTTTTGTAGAGAAAACAGATGCTTAAAAGCTCATAAAATGGAACATGGGATATATGAGGCACTATGGGAGTAAATAACTGCCTGAGGGAGTCAGGGAATACAATGTAGTGATGTATTTGGGAGGGTCCTTGATCATATGTAGGGGCTGCCAGGCAATAACTACCCTTAACCTGGATTTTCTGAGACACCGATCCCTTATCATTTTATTCTGGATTTAATGGCACTGAGGTCCTAGGACTGGTGATGTGTGAAGAGCTGGGGACAGGGAATCAGGATATCTGTGCTCTAGTACCAGTTCTGGCTCTAACAGGCAATGTGCTGTGGGCCAATCAATGCCACCTCCCTAAACAGGGCCACATTCGTCTCTCACCCAGATACTGTCAAAGCCCCCATTCTGGCCCTCCATTCCCTTCTACTTGCTGCAGCCAGTGAGACCTTAAAACAAAACAAAACAATCCCCCACATGTACAAATCTGGAGAAACCTGGCAGTGAGAACTTAAAAAACAAAAGAAAACTCCCCATAAAACCTGGCAGGTACCACTTTAATAAAACGATCAAAGATAGCCTCACCAATAATTAGATGGACTGACATTATGTGCCTCCTGATACTATGCACTCAGAAAGATACAACATCACTTATAAAGCATTACTGCCAAAAATACATAGCCTGGATGTAATCAGGAGGAAACATCAGACAAGCCCAAGTTAAGGGACTGACAACGAAATGCAATGTGTGACCCCTGACTGGATCCTAGTTCAAAGGGAAAAATTAGAAATTGGATAATGTGAATAAATGGTGAAATTAAAAACAGACTGTTTATTATTTGATAGCATTATGTTGGTGATAAATTCCCTGAATTTGATTACTATGGTTATATAAGATAACGTTCTTATTCTTAGGAAATATACACTGAAGCTTTAGGGGTAAAGAGCATTATGTCTCCAACCTAACCTCAAAGGCTTCTCAAAACACCAGAAGGCGTATGTATGTAGAAAGAGAAAGGGAGGATGGGAGGGAACGTGAGCCATGGTGAGTGGGCTGAGGAGGACACAGGGGTTCCTCAACTATTCCTGCAATGCCTCAACCCACTCCCTGGCCCCACTCACCACTCCTTCTCCAAGGACCCTCCAGAATCCCAAGTCAGATGGAGGCCTTCCCCACAGCCTTCTGCTGGACTGTCAGCTGGGTCAACCTTGAACCTACTGTTTGATGATAGTCTATATGATCCTGAGGGGCAGGGACTATGTCTGATTCCTTTCTGCCTCAATGTCTGGAACAGGGCTGGGCACAGTAAATGCTTCGGAGCACTGACACAGTATGTGGCCTCAGGATAGAACCAGGACCATTGTGTAGAAAGAAAAAGGACTTAGGCTCTATGCTGACCAGAATAGGGGGGAGCACTGGTCTGGGGGAACGGGACATGAAATCCCCTCTCCAAAGGTGTGCAAACTGAAATTGTAATAGGTGACTTGAAAGACCCTCACAACCCAGAGAGGCAAGTGGTTAAAATCCTTTGCTTTAGTTTGGGTGATGTGGGTGGGAGTGGGTATGGATTCATTCATTCACTCATCAAATACTTACTGAGGGCCTACTGTGTGCCAGGCACTGCTCTAAATTCAGTGAAGACAGTGGTAAAACAGACACAATTCCCTAACCTCAGGAGTTTGTCTTCTAGTGAAAGAGTTAATTATTGATGGCTTACATTGCTATAAATGCTTTGAATGTATTAAACCAGTTAATTTCTTAACCCTATATGTAGGTATTATTGTTATACTGAGGCACAGAGAGGTTAAGTAAGTTGTCCAAAGCCACACATCTATTTGTACCCAAGCAACCTGGCTGAGACTCTTACCCACAACCCATCTCATCTATTACTAAGGAGGAAAAGGGCAGTCAAAGCTGCCAGCTTCATGGATAAGCTTTCCAGGCTCAGGCCTTCAATGAAGAGTGTGCGGCACCTATACTGTTTCAACCACACTGAGCCCTGGGGTACCTGGGGTTTCTAGAACATGAAGGGGTTACTGATAATGATCTGGGTCACTGTCTCTGCCTCTATCTTCATGGTTTTATGATTCACTATTCATTAAATTCATCCAACAAATACTTACTGAACACCTTACTATGTGCCCAGCACTGAGCAAAATGCTAGGGAAACAGCGGTGAATGGGGCAGAAATAAGCTTTCACTTTACTCAACACTCACAATTGTCCTGCAAGTATTATATCTTCACTTTACAGATGGGAATCAGAGCCTCAGAAAGGTGAAGTGACTTGCCCAGAGACATCTAGCTGGAAAGAGATGGAGTAGGATTTGTACTATGCTCTGCCAGACTCTAGAGCCCATGTACTTTGCTGTGCGACACATCAAAAATGGAGTGGGATGGAGGAATGGGGAACAAGACCTGGGGTAAGGATGGTGCCTGACCTCAGTTTCCCCTTCCACTCTAGGCCCTGAACCCTCTGGAGGTCAAACTCAGTCCATTTTGTCAAGGCTGTACCTCCGCCTCACTGCTGCTGTTTCCACTTCCAAAATCCTAGCAACACTGGTCACTTAGTTTAGTGAGGGGACTGCTCCTTTTGTGGCCTGGGGCAAGACACTTGGCCTTCGTTTTCTCATCTTTAACAGGGGAGAGATGAGTTATTTTCATGAGCCACCCTGAGGTTCACATGGGATATTGGGTGCAGGGGGCTTAGCAGGGAGTATGCCCCTGGGAAAGGGCTCTGTCACTGGGTGCCCCAAGGCACTTTGTAAAGGTCAGAAGGTCCCAGCCCCCGCCTACCATTTCTCATTGATGCTCTCCCTTTCCTCCTTAGGCCCTGAGCACACACACACTCAGGGCCTGTCTTCCTACATCCCCCTCCTCCCAAGGTCCCCAGGACAGGCTCAGCCACAACAGATTTTGCCCAATCCCCGTGCCCAGTCGAGTCTTTCACACCGGCCGGGAGGGACACTCCAGCCCTGCTCACTAAACAGCCGTGGGCTCTCAGGCCGGCATCTGTGCACTGCTGAGCTCCTGCCCCTAAGGCTCAGGCCGATACTCCCGCGTCCGCGGGCACCTAGTCTCGGGGCAAGGAGAGCCAGGCCACGGCACTGCCCCCCGGACTGGCACAACCCCTACAGCAGCAATGCCCTCGGGGCGCGCGCCACCCTTTCCAGCTGCAGGGGCCCTTCGCTCGCAGGCGGACCCAGCCTCTCTCCCGCCCTGACAGTGTCCATCAGGTGTGCACGGCCCCCTCCCGCGTCCGGACAGTGGCCCCGGGCGAGCATGGCTTCCGTCCCAAGCCAGCGCAGTCCTCTAAGGGCGAACACGGCTCCCTTCACCCCGCTCTGCCAGCCCAGCCCCGGCGCCCGCTCAGGCCGCTCCCCGGCCCGGCCCGCGCACCCCGGAAGTGGGAGGCTGGCGCGCGAGGAACCTGCCCCGGGACCCTCCCCTACCCGGGCGCAGTCTCGGGGGTCCCTCCACACCGGTGCCGCCCTGGTTCGCACCCTCTCGGGCCTTCGCGGGGCTTACCTGTCCCACCAGGTGAGCGGCCTCCGGCTCGGCCCCTCCCCCCGCCCCCCTCGCCGCTCACCTGGGGCGCAGGTGAGCGTCTCGCGGGAGCGCTGCACGGGCCGCCGCTGGGGACACACTTCCTGCCTCCGCGAAGCACCGCCGCCGCCGCCGCGCACCTGGGCCGAGGCCCCGCCCCGAGCGCTGGTTGGGCATCGCGGCTCGGCTTGGGCGTTCTGCCTGCAGACTCAAGAGAACCGCTCGGCCTGGTCGGGGTAAGTGGGGCCTGGCAGGCAGAGTAGGCAGACGGTGGGGCTGAGCCTTCAGTTCTGTTAAATGGGTAAGTCGCACACTGTTTTCTGGACTTCTGCCTCCTCCTTTAGCCTTTGGCCTTGAGAACAGACTCTTTGCCTTGTTCCCAATAATCCTGGTGCCCATCATAAGACCTGGCACATCCTAGGTGCTCAGCAGATATTCTTGATTGAATGAACTGTTGGGCTCTGATTTCATCCTTTGGCCTGAGGTAGAATTGAGGACCTGGGTCCTCTGCTCGCTGATCATCTTCTGTGTTCAGGGAAATCTGCACAGGAAAACAAGGACCTCTGCTCTGGGGCCTCAGAGCAGAGTAAAGTATGGGGCTGGGCTGTACAGCCCTGAAAGACACATCCCAGATCAGTAGGGGTGGCCAAAATGGGCCATGATCATGGCATCCCGTGGGGACGGTGCACGAGGCAACATCATTTGGTGGCAAGAAGTCAGGGCTCAGACTCTTCTGGGTTCCTGCTCTCCTCAATAACAATAATAACAAAAGCACCAGTGAACAAGTAACTTCTAGATAGTATTTCCAGGATCCACACTAAACCTCTTGCATGTTATTATTTAATCCTTCCACTAGTGAGGTGGGTCAGGTGTTATTCCTATTTTACAGATGAGGAAACTGAGGCTTGGGAAGGGGACATTATTTGCTTAGGCAGTTGGCACAAATTATGTGACTTTGGGCAAGGCACTTGCCTTCTCTAAACTTCGTCTGTGGAGACAAATAGTACCCCTCTCCACCTGGGAGAACCGAAAAAGATAGTGGATGCAAATTGAGCTAAAGGATATGGGAGGAGATTGCTGGGGTTAAGGATTGTTATGTGGGAGGAATTCAGTATTGCCTAGGCCCTTCCCCTCCAGGTGTAGCACAGATATACAACCTCGCAACCTCAGAAGGAGGTATGCCAATTAGGACAGAGCTCTTTGCCCTGTTTGGGCTGACAAGCCCTCCCCTTGGCCAGCCAGGGTGGAACACTTCTTGGAAGATAATTCCCACAACAGCTGAGGTGTTTCATTCCTTACTCACCTCCAAGGGCACCATCATCTCATCCTACAGGTACTCTACCATGTGCACACTGTAGGTATTCAGTTTCCACCAAAGACCCTCCATGGCAGCCCTTCCCACATCCTGTTCACATTCTCTGGGGCAAGTGGTCCATTGTTTCCTCATTTGGAGCTAGGAAGTGAGTCACATCTTGTGCAGTTGAAGCTTTGTGTACCCTAAAACCCAGCACATCCATTCCTGAGGTGTGGCCCAAGAACTGCACATGCACACCAGAAGACAGATGCAAGAAATGGGGGCAGAAACATTGTTCATGGTAGCCCCAAACTGAAAGCCCCCACATGCCATTGGCAGGAGAGAAAGAAATGTGGAGTAATTACACAGAACATGATGACTAAAGCAGCCCTGATCTTCTTTCTTTACCTAGAAGGAAAAAAAATGGAAGGAAAATATGATCTCTGAAACTTGGGGTGCACTTTCTGATATGTTAGGGAACCTTTCTCTGGAGCTCCAGCCCTGCCTCTCATCAGCTGTGTGGTCTTGGAGAAGCTAGTTCCCTTCGCTGCATCTGTGATATGGGGATGACAATATTTCCTACTCGAGAGTGTATTTTGGAGTGTTGTGCAAAAGGCACAAGTTAGTTGTTATTCTAATCACAGCCACACTGAAACCTCTCCCCTCTCTGCCCCTATCCTTCCCACACTGAGACACACTGGACCCTGTTCCCAAGGGCCCTCACCCCCACCACAGTGCATATTGGAAAACTCCATAAAAAACCGATGATGTATATACCCAAAAGTACATATCCAATAGAACTGAACACAGGGACTCAAACAGATACTTCTATACCAATGTTCACTGAAGCATTATTCACAATAATAAAAAGGTGGAAACAACTCAAGTGTCCATCAACAGATGAATAGACAAAATGTGGCGTATACATACAAAGGAATATTATTCAGCCATAAAAAGAATGAAGTTCTGACATGCTACAACACAGATGGACACTGATGACATGCAAAGTGAAACAAGCCAGACACGAAAGGACAAATACTGTGATTCTGCTTATATTAAGTATTTAGAATCAACAAATTAATACAGACAGATATTAGAGGTTACCAGAGTCTGGGGCAAGGGGGGAATGGGAAGTTATTGCTTAATAGGTACAGAGTTGCTATTTGGGATGACGAAAAATTTTGGAAATAGGTAATGGTGATGGTTGCACAACAGTGTGCATGTAATTAATACCTCTGCATCATACATTTAAAAATGGTTAAAATGGCAAATTTTATGTTTACATATAAATTTTTAACCACAATTAAAAAAAAACTTTTGAAAACAAAACAAGATACTTTATGGCTCCAGCATTCAGCATAACAAAAGAAACAGAGGTCCATTGGAGTGAATTTTCCAGAGTACAACCCACCTTTGTTGTGCACTTCCCTTTACAGTATATACAAAACAAACGCTTTTTAATTTGATACTTACAGCAGCTCTAGGTAGGCACTGTCATATTCATTTTACAGATGGGGAAACTGAGGCTTATCAAGGTCCCAATGCCACATGGTGATTGAGCAGTGGAGCTGGGTGGCAACCCAGTCCTTCTGGCTTCTGGTATAGTGCTACTTACTGCGCCCTGCTCCCAACCGGTAAGGCTGTATGTTTGGGCTTCTTTCTAAGCAGAAATGCCTACCTTTCTAACCAGAGCTACCCAAGCTCAATTTTGCCTCTTGGCCATGGCTGGGGGCCATTGTCCTGATCCTCTGCTTCCACTGCTGTTGCTCTGCTCTGTTCACTCTTTACTTTTTTGGTCTCCTTTTTTGGCCACTGTTCAGGCTTCTGGACTGGTGACAGCTTAGGAGCCAGAGGGAGGTGACAAGGATGGCTGAGGTTTCTGGCTTGTGCTGCTGGCTGGCTGGAGATGACTGGGGGAAAAAGTCTGAGGTGTTGACAGTGTTGACAGGTGTTGACCTTCAGAGTGGCATTCGGAAGCTGCAAGACCTGCAGCTTTGGGCCTGAGGAGGAGCAGTGGGTCAGGGGAGTGTGGCAGGTGGATTGGGCTCCTGGTTATCTGCTGCTTGCCTCTGGTGTGCTTCTCCCCTAGGGGGCACTAGGGGGCAGCAAGCAACAGCGGAAATTGCCATCACTTTGGAGTCATAGGAGTCCTCAATGTACCTGTTCAGCTGCATTGTGAATTTGACCTCTTTGAATCTCAGCATTTCTCATCTGAAAAAGGGTTGAATGTGAAGCAGTATAGTACAGTCATTCAGAGTGTGGACAGCAGAGCCAGAAGGCCTGAATTTGTGCCCCAACTTGGCCACTTAACTAGCTGAGTGATTTGGTCAAGTTTTTGAACTTCTCTGTATCTCAGACATCTTACCTATAAAGTGATAGTAGTAATAGTTTGATGTGGTGATTACAACAAAAGCCGGCACATTGCAAATGCTAAATAGATGACAGCTACTTTATTTTCACCCCTTCCTTCTGCCTCCTCTCTGCCTCCCCAGCCATCTGGGGCCTGAACTTCTGAGGCAAGACCACTGCCTCTGAGAATAGCAGGAGAACAAATCTACTACTGACCATGACCACCAACTTATGTGTTAGGTATAGTACATGTCTTATTACACTTAATCCTTTCAATGACTCAGTCAGTAGATAGCCAATACCCATTTTACAACTAAGAAGACAGACTCAGAGATCTAAGCCTCAGCTCTCTGCAATGATTCTTCTGGGTACCCCAGAAACTGGGCCCTGGAGGTTGCCCAAGCCCTAGCAGAATGGAGGAATCTCCCATTAAGAATTCCCTTCTCTAAGATGTGGTACATAAACACAATGGAATATTACTCAGCTGTAAGAAAAAAACAGATCCTACCATTTGCAACAACATGGATTGAGCTAGAGGGTATTATGCTCAGTGAAATAAGACAGGTGGAGAAAGACAAGTACCAAATGATTTCACTCATATGTGGAGTATAAGAACAAAGGAAAACTGAAGGAACAAAACAGCAGCAGAATCACAGAACCCAAGAATGGACTAATAGTTACCAAAGGGAAAGGGACTGGGGAGGATGGGTGGGAAGGGAGGGACAAGGGCAGGGAAAAAGAAAGGGGCATTACGATTAGCATGTATAGTGTGTGGGGGGGCACGGGAGGGCTGTGCAACACAGAGAAGACAAGTAGTGATTCTACAGTATCTTACTATGCTGAAGGACAGTGACTGTGAAGGGGTATGTGGGGGGGGACTTGGTGAAGGGGGGAGCCTAGTAATCATAATGTTCTTCATGTAATTGTAGATTAATGATACCAAAATAAAAAAACAAAAAAACAAAAACAAAAAGAATTCCCTTCTCTAATCAACTCCAGTTCTGCTCACCATGCCCCAGTTTTCCAGAGAGAAGTTCCTGGAATTCTGAGTGGAATAAATGGAATAGAACCAACTGAAAGGGAACTCTGTGGGGTAGACGGGAACAGACTGGGAATTTGAGAGTGGAGGCTGTCTTGGCTTCTTGGATTGGTTAAGTCCATACATACATGTCAGACAATGGACCAATGACCGTTCAGTGCTGCTTCTCCCCTTTCCTTCATTGGCCAAAGGATGGTGTATCCAGGAGGCAGGAGAGAACCAGGAGAAAGTTACCCTGGTGAGAGAGGGCTGGGGTGAGCTGGCATCTGGGCTAGGCTGATAATGTGGATAGAGGTGCAGCAGGAGCCCTGGAGTTCTAAGGAGCTGGGTTGCAGGGGCTTCTGGAAATCTAGGTTGGGCAGCTGGGAAGGACATCCCAGGTCTACCTGATGCTGGAGGATTCCTGGGGCTCCCTGGCTTTAGCTAGCATAGCACCCAATTGCCTGGGGTGGAGGGAACTGCAGGCTGCAGAGCTGTCCTCTACCAGGTTGAGGAATGGCTGCTTCTTTGGTCCTTCATTCGGTTCTAGTCAAAGTCTTT